CGCCCGCGGGCCGCTGGGCCGGGGTCGACGCCCGGGCTCGGTCAGTCGGTACCTTCATGAAGGTCTCTACCGCGCCTTTGGCCGTGTCCAGGTAGGTGGTGCCCAGATGGCTGCGCTGGTTCATAGAGGCAGACGTGTCTATCAGGAACAGTAAGATGGGCATAGTGCTGGCCAGGGACACCGGGGCCCGAGGTGGTAAAGAAAAAGGAGATGGTAGAGGTGGAGGCGCCGGTGGCGGCGACCGCCGCTACGCGGGGCGGGGGAGCGCGGCCCCCGGGAGGAAAACACCGTCTGGGTCTTTCCTCCGGCTGCGGGGAGTTTCTCCCCCGATAGTTGAGAGGAAACTCCCAGACCCAGTCCTCCCCGTCGTATCCCCGTCTCCGCCTCCTCCTGCCTGCCTGCCCGCTGGGGCGGGCGCACGGCCGTCTGTCTGTCGGTCGGTCCGTCCCCCCCGCCTCGGGGGTCCCGTCCCCGTTCCCGGCCCCTGTGTGTGTCCCAGCGGGAGACGGGCCTGGCTCCCCACCCCACCCCCGATGCAGGGAGTGGGGACCTGGGAGGTGGCGAAGAAGGGAGTGGGCTGAAGGGAGATTGGCCCCGGGGCTGTTGGGAGAAGTTTCAGGGACTCCCTCCGCACCCCGGCGGTGTCACCACTTTCTCAGCCCCTCTCGCTACTGAAGCGCTTTTCTCTCTCACACTCCGGTTTTAACTCGGGCAGGGGCTGCAGAGGCACCGCCCCCTGACACGTCCTCGCGCCACGTGACGCACCGCTCCGGTATTCCATTGGCTAGTCCCTAGCCTCTCATTAGCATATTCAAACAGCTCAGGGGCGGGAGAAGCTTGTAGGCGGGCTCTGGGAGCAGTTATTGAGCACGCGTGAAGGCGGGGCGTCGGGTGCGCGCGCGAGCTAGCGCGAGGAGTGAGCAGGCGGGTCGGCAGACGCGGAGGCGGGCTCTGGGAAGGGGCGGAGACGGACCGCGGAAGGAACGCTAGGTGGGGGCGGGAGACGCGTAGGCGCGCGCAGGTCGACTGCGGCTCTGAGTCTGCGCGTCAGTGCCGCGGAAATCTCCTTGGGTGTTGGAGGTGATAGGGGTCGGGGGAATTGAAATGGACGCTGGTCTCACTCAGTCCCTCTTCCGAAGTCGCTGTAACAAACCCCTTCCCCGGGGGTCGAGTGAAGAGGAGAGAAGTTAAGGATCAAACACGGGGTTAGGGGAAGGAGGCACGCCCGCGGTCGGCGTAGGAGTTGCCTTTAGCCTCTGAGGGCCGGCCCCAGCGTAGGCGGGCCGGGGCGGGGGAAGGGAAGTGAGAGGTTGTTTATGACCAGGGACTAAGCTCCGAGTCACACCGCTCCCGCTGGGGCGTGAGGACTCGTAGTCGGCCTGCGTCGCAGCCGTCCCCTTCGGCCTTGGGGAGCAACAAGGGATTGGGGCTCCACCCGGAGCAGGCCAGGAACCCTCTCTTTGGAGGACCCACCAAAAAGGAAACCACTTTTTTCTGACTCAGCCCTAAAAGGTCGTGGCGGAAGTCTTGATCAACAGTTTGTTGACCTTGTTAGTCTCAGGAAGAAATAACTGGTACTACCCAAAGAAATACCTCTCTCAAAGCTTGCGTACTTACGGCCAGAGAATTTCAGTTTGAAAACTAGAAGGGACTTTGGCAAACTAATCCATTACTCTTACTTTCAAGTGAAAAAACTGACTTCAGCTTGCTTAAGTAACCCAGAGAAAGGGGTTGCCCATAACCCTGCCTCTTTTCCTCTCACTATATATTCTCTCTCAGACTTGTGCAAGTACTGTATGAGGGAACAAGTTCTAGGTTAAAATAAGCCCCTGTCATATGCCGGAAGTAATGAATCCTCTAAGTATCCAAGGAAAACAGTTTCCTCAAGTACACTAGTTAAAAAACTGAAGAGTGCCTGAAATGCAAGTTGAATTGGGGACGTAACTATCATTATAAGACTATATAGGGCTTCTACTGGCCTTTATTTTGATTTTTTTACTTTTTTTTTTTAATGTGTTTTTATTGATTTCAGAGAAAGGAAAGGAGAGGGGGGGAGAGAGAGAAACATCAATGATGAGAGTCGTTGATTGAGCCCACAACCCCAGCATGTGCCCTGACCGGAAATCGAACCTTGGTGGCCTGGATCCTAGGTGGATGCTCAACCACTGAGCCATGCCTGGCCATGCAATTTTTTTACTCTTAAACTTAAAATCCTTTATTATCTACCTACTGATTATTTTTAAGAATTGTTCCTTTTGACATTAACACAAGAGAGATGCTCTGTGACACTTTGAATCTTGAGTTGCACAACTTGGACTTTTTTAAAAAAATATATCTTTATTGATTTCAGAGAGAGGAAGGGAGAGGGAGAGAAAGATAGAAACATCAATGATGAGAGTTGTCATTGATCTGCTGCCTCCTGCACCCCCCACTCGACCCAGGAATGGAACTGAGATCTGGATCCTAGGTCAATGCTCAACTGCTGAGCCACGCCTGGCGGGGCTGGACTTTTTCTAATGTTTAAGACTTCTGAACTTTCTGCTGTAATAGAGCTTTTTCAGTAATATGTTGTACCTAACGTAAAAGAGATTTTTGAGAGATTTGGACTACAAAATAAGATAAAATACAGGTCTTCATCCAGTATTTGCTGAGGGCTGGTGGAGTTAAAAAATGATTTTAAAATGGTCCCTGCCTTCAATGAGCTTAAGGTTTTTCTGGAACAATATTACATGCATATTATTAGCTACTACAAGGCAGAAAGTGATTAGATACTAAACTCAGAAAAGAGAAAAATTTATTACCCTACGGTGATGAAAGAACATTTTCCAGGGTCAATATGTTTAAGCTGTGCCTTAACGCAGTGTTTCTAAAACTAGGATCCCGGGACCTGCAACTAAAAATCAGAGTTCTTTAATGGTTTACAATTTTTTCTTTTTGTTTAAACAATATGCAAATTGTTTTACCAGTTCTAAAGACAAAATTATTCTTTCAAAGTGATGATTTGCAACTGAAAGATTTTCATGAAATTGGTCTTCAATTTTACCTATCAGTCCTTTCATACTCATCTATGGCCCTGCCTATCCAAAAATATATTCTATAGAATCACAGTAATTTCTTTTACATTACTCAGGTTTAAGAAATACTGCTCTACAGGATTGGTAGGATTTGGATATGTGGGTAAAGGAAGAGGAAGCTGCAGGTGAAAAAGTCCTTCTAGACAAAATGTAGTGAAGAAAAGAAGTTAGCACACCATTGCCAAATGGCTTTCTGGGGAACAATGAAGTTTAGCTAGGCTGGAGCACCAGCTACGCAATAAATAGCATAAGATCCAGAAAGGTAGAACATATCTAAAGAGTAGAGGGCCTTTATTCCGGGCTAAGGATTTCTTTCCATATAAATGAGAATTTTTAGTCAGGGTGCTTTTTACAAAGCAGTATTTGAAGGGAATCAAACTAAACTATTGAAGTAGATGAGCATGCATTACTAATGACCTTACCGATTACCGTTATTTGAAATCATTTTGGAACCATTGTGGCTCTTTCTTCCCTGACTCAGTGGAGTTGACAGATTGTCATATTAGGGTCATAAGTGGAAGTGTATGGTAGAGCCAGAATTAGATACAAAGGTCAGGAGAGCCAAGTCCAATGAGCCAACCTGGAGAATATAACCAGAACCTACGCTTATGATGGCACCTGAGATCAAAGGCCAGGTTTCCAGTTCAGAAGCCCAGAAGTGCTGGAAGGCAAGGCCCTGAGGCAGAACAGGAAAGAAGTCAGGACATACATAGGCAGCAAATCAAGGGGCAGTCAGAAACCAGGAAGCACTGAGTTATCCCTACACAAAATTGTGAAATAGGCCAGGTTTATTCTTAGTGATTCTGGTTGACAAACTATTGGTTGATGGTGGCTTAAAGCAGTGGTTCTGGGCTAGGAGGTGCCCATTAGCATTACCTATAGAACTTAAGTACTAAATCTCCATGCCCAGAGGAAAGTGATTATGTAGAATTGGTATGGGCCCTGGTCATCTCATTTTTTAAAAAGTTCTTCAGGCGATTAAGAACTATATACTTAAAGTATAAAAATAATGTGTATGTCTAGCATCTAATATTACCCTTAGAGATTACATTTCTTAAACTCCTAAAATGTGCAATCTAAAGGGAAAAATAGCTAACAGTGGATTTGCATCACATGCTTATGTAAATTACTTGAATTCAACTATGACAAAAAGAGAAAACTGGTTCTGGAATTCCCACTGTTCCATTGGTGAGCTTAGGCCTTGAAGTAAAGCATAGGATGGGAAACAAGAATCTCTTCACTCAATATCTGTGATTCTAGAATGTAATTCTAGAGATTCTGGTTATGTGCTGGCTTATTTTTGTAAGACATGGCCTCTAAATGCAAACCAAGTATTTCATTAAACTCAACTGAAGAAACAGTGAGGTCTTGCAATGCTAGGGGGAGAAGGAGTTGGAGTAGTGTGTGCTAAACCCTGTGCTGTTGCAGTCTAGGAGATTAGCAAAGATTTTTCAGGGAGAGCATTGGTCAAAAGAGGTAAGTGGGAGAAAATTTGCTCTCTGTTGCTGTTTTTAAAGGAGTGCTGTCCAACTGCTATGGCTCCAGTTTAAAGGGAACGAATAAATTATATGAAACCTGAAAGAATGGTGACTAAACTGTTGAAATGGAGCTATTCTAACCAAATTATAAACTGATGAATTAGATTCATTTGTAAAAGCTAACCAGAGCCCTTTTAAATTAATTTAAACCAATTACCAGGGTAACACGGTTTTTAAATAATTACGTGCAAAGATTTGGCTTATGATGTCTAAATGTGCCATCTCATCAAAATAATCAGATAAAGCGAGTGTTTCTCATATGTAGCCTAATAAATATTCTTGTGGCTGTCTTACCATTTCCTTAGCTCTCTGCTTTACTCTTTGACATCACAATAGTCAATGATACTGAGAGGTTGAGAACATAAAAAAAAAAAGTAATAGGCATAAAAAATTAGGTGTGAAACTATGCAGCAGAAGGTGTTCAGATAATACATGCATAAGAAAATTTATTTTGGTCATCCTAATATATCCTCAAAAAAAAATGCTACTAGGGAGTACTATTAAAAAGAAATTAGACCTTTCCAAAAAGCAGTATTTCAAAGTAATAATTGAAGTCCTAGATGATTCAAGATCAGTCCTGAAAGTGGACATATCTAAACTGAGAATTTGAATCACAATGGAACAGTTTCTCTAGCAAAAGAGCATGAAAATTGCAGTAATTTTAAAATTAATATTAATTGCACACCTATTATATGACAGGCACTATGGTAGGCCATAGAGAGTTTATAATCTATGGAAAGATGGAAGGCAGATAAACATGATGAGAATACTCTATTATGATAAGTCAGCAGACCCCAGGCATGATGTAATAAGACCTATCTTAGAGGATTGTTTAAAATGCAAGGTAGCATACTGTATTTCATCTATGCTGAGACACCACAGGTTCTAAGAAATGCCATTATTTTGTACCACTGAAAGAAAAAAGAATGTTAATTAAGGTATGACACAATGTTTTCTTATCAGTTAAAACTTACACACACCGCATTAAGTTCCAACCAGGAGCATTGGTGATGCAACATGTTTTAAAAGAATACTTCACTGTTGTCT